TTCAGATCTTACACAAGCTCTTCTGCCTCAACAAGACTGTGATTCCTGGCTTCAAGGGAAGTCCCAAATGAATGCCTTTCAACAAGCACTCCTGAGGACTAACAGGCCATTTATTGGCTGTATTTTGAAGACATTGCTTTAAAAAATTACAGAGTTAGAAGAAAAAATCTTGCTATCTTGAGAGGCAATATACTATGGGGATGAAGAGGTTGGAATCTGGAACTAGATGGCCTGGGATTGAATCCCAGTCCTGCCACACTTGCCCATAACCTTGGGCAATTTCTACATCTGTAAAATGGGGAATATGATCATATCTACCTTGTGAAGTGGTTGTGAGGAATCAGTAGGTAAAGCAGGTTTCTGGAGCCTAGCTCAGTGTAAGCTTTCCAAAAGTTTTAAGTTCTTGTCACTTCTATTTTGCTTCGTGTGTGTGTGTTTATTATACTTAAATCCTATAGAATTATCCATGAGAAAATTTTAATGAATTTTTAAACTTTCCATAAAACAATACAGAGTAAAATCAGACAGACCCATGTTTGAATTTTAGTTTCCTTGCTTCTTTGTTTTTGTTTTTTTTGGTACCGGGGATCAAACTCAGGACCTTGCACTTTTGAGGCAGGCGAAGTGCCGCTGAGCTAAATCCCTGGGCCCTCATTGTTTCTTTACTGCAGAATGTTGATACTCCCTATAATATCAAGTTTCAGAGTATAAAGCATGTGAAAAGATCAGTATACTCTCTAATAATATAGTAGGTACCTAGTGGGCGTTATCTATTTTTACTGTTATTATATTTTGTGCTCTGGGGATGTTTTATGGGTCAGGTAAAATATCCAGTCATGTATATGCTCCAGTATTTGTCGTTAGCCTGTATTATAGGGGGTGAGACTAATAGGTTTAATTAGGACTTGTTATTTTACTGCTTAATTAACCAGTAGTAATTCATTTTAAATGCTGATTATCAAGTCATGGATGTATAGTATTGTGAATATACTCACACGTATATATCACACAGACAGATTGGTGAATTGAATGATAGATACACATTCTAAAGATAGGAAGGTAGGTAAATAAGGAGATAGACATAAATCTTAGGGGAAAGAGGAAATGGGGTCTGGAGGGCTTTTTTAAGGATGGCTGTTTTTAACCTATGCTAAATTATGAAGTTCAATAAAAGGTAGCCAGGATTTGACAGGACCAAATAAAAGCTGTGAGAAGTAGAATTTAGGAGAGCTGCATGTTGGTTCATCAGTGTTAGGCTGGGATGTTCGGTGGGGATGGGGCTTTCTGGGTGGAGACCAAACTTGTCCAAAAGATAAACAGGGAAGAGACTGGCTAAGGCCTATAAATAAGCCCTGCTAAGGAATTTGTCTTTTATTCTGAGGGTTACAGGGAGTCACTAAAGGTTACTTTTAAAATAGGAGAGTGAAAAGATCAGTCACACGCAATAGAGACAGTTTCTCTTGCCTTGAGAGACAATGATGGCTAAGAACGCAGTATAGGAAGCGGTGGTAGAAGTTGAATGCTGGTAGCCTGGCCCAAGAAAGCAGCTCTGAGTGCCTGAGTCCTACTGTAGGCAGGTGAAGCAGCCCTGCAAACTTGATTCTGGTGATGAAAAATTAATATGGCCTAAGCCTGATTCTCTAATCTGTACACCTCGCCCTGAAGCAAGTGAGATGTTTGGAAGTTGCATTAAGTCTCTCAGGCCACTGGGGTGCCATTAAACTCTGGCTTCAGCACACTAAATGGAATGGAATCTCAGCCTGCAGTCAGCCAGTAAATGAGTATAACTTATGTTGAGTTCCAGCTAATGTACAGTCTTAGAAGTAGCCTTAAGTCTGGAAAGTCACTGGGGTACAATTTGGAGCACTGAACTGTGATTTACTTGGCCATACCCTAGTGGCCTGTATGTGCCAATATAGCTTCCATGGTCTTTTCTACTTTGTTCCAGGGAATAACTTATAGAATGAAAACATCCATTTTAAAATATATTTTCTACGTCTTATTCCTTTTTTAGTGGATAGGGATTATTGAGGTCAGTATTTATTGCTCAAAAATGTGCCATTTAAATGAAAGTAGCAAGTTATAACCTAAAAATGTATAGTTTAAATAAAAGTAACAGGTCATAATGCAAAGTAATTTTTCCTATCAAATGTATATAATAACTGAAGTTTTTAAAAAGCACAGCTTTTTCCAAAAGAAGTTCAGATTTCATTTCACAAAGGATTTAAACTGTTTATCATTTAAAATTTGCTTTATATATAATGTTGTTAATTAATTGTTCTCTGACAAAAAAATGCACAAGGAATGAGTAATATGCCCATGAGTTCCAATGTTTATAAAACACAATAAAACTGATATTATCCTGATAAGTGCTGTGAGATCCCAATCATTCTTTCATTCCTATGCAGTTATCACTATGGGCCTGACATTTATGTTTAATAAATTTGTGATTGTCACATGCAAATGAACAACACTGTTAAACCCCATGCTGGAAGCCCTGGTGCTTGTGGTGGAGCATTAATAGTGTACAAGCTCTTAGATGAGGTAGGTGTTCTGGGAATCTTGAACAATGGACAGAAATGTACAAATGAAGAAACCTCAAGGGCTGGGGATTTAGCTCAGTAGTTCTGCCACCTGCCTTGCAAGCATAAGGACCTGAGTTCGATCCCTGATACCAAAAAAAAAAAAAAAAGAAAGAAACCTCAAATATGAGTCTGTGTGATAAATAAGTTTGAAACTGTCTTAGGAAATAGTTTCCCTTCTTAATAAAAATAACTTTTTGGATCAGGTTTTCAAAGTTCATAGATGCTTGATAGGTGAGAAGAAGCATTCTAGATATATAAAGATATTAAGTAATTTCTATCTAATTTGTGAAACTAAAAAGAGGAAAAAGATATGCAGAGGAGAATTTTAGAAGTTTTTGCTATTTTAAATAATGCCTGTTTGTGTGACTGATAATATGTTGTTTTTTGGTTTTTGGTTTTTGCAGTAGGTATGGGAATTGAACCCAGAACTTTCACACTGAACTACATCCCCAAACCTTTATGTTTTCATTTGAAATAGAATCTGCTCAGGTTAAGCTCTAACTTGTGATCTTCTTGCTTCAGCCTTCCATGGTGCTGGTCATTGTGCTTTCTAAAACATTATCACACTTGATGTTTAAGGACTCTGTGAAGTAGAATTTTTGTAGATAAGAAAATAATGTCTTAGAGTGCCAATGTAACTTGTTCGAGATCCAAATAATTCATACCTGATGAATGAAAAACTCTAATCTATGTTTTTTGACTCTTAAACCAGTAATTAAATGTTCAGTAGTAGGCAAATAATTGTCATATACCAACTACCATGTTTTATACTTGAAGCAACCTATGAATAACAAGTTCACATTGAAGACTTCCTCCAGGTTTTACCAGTGCGTTTATTGCCTCTCCCACTCATTTGTGATAAAATTTTAATTTTAAAAATGGCTTTTATTTCTCAAGCAACACAGAGGTTCTAAGGTAGAAAATTTAGAAATGTACATGTTTGAATATGAAGTGAGTGTAGATTCATTACTTCAGAGATAACGAGAGATTTTGGTGCTCTAATGAGATCAACAAAAATAGTATTGTTGTTTTCGTTTTTATTTTCACAAAAGAATGTGGAAAAATTTTCCATGTCATGAAACATCAATAATAGTTTCCAAGTATTCCATTTTCTGAATAGCACTTACTGAGAACTTGGGGCTGCTTTCTGAATATACTTGTTAGAAACAGCATTGTAGATCATCTTTGAATAAATTCATAATTTTTTTCTTGGGGTAAATTCCTGACTTCAAAATTTCTGGGTTAAATGGTAGACAAAATTTCCTAAGTATTAGCTCAATAAACCAATAGAAATCTCATGCCTGTTTAAATCTCATTTTGCAGTTTATAAATAGCTTTTCTTTTTTACACAATTACCAGTCCCTGATGTTTTTTTAAAAATCTTTACCAATAGAAGCATCAAAAATAGCATATTTTTGTTTTGTACAGCTTAACAGTAAGATAGTAAATAATATCAGGAATAAGATTTGGTCTTATGTTTCATTCTGCACAGTGCCTACTGTTTATTGTTTGAATAAGGGCATTCAACAAGTAGAATGCTGACTTGATGGTAACATGTAATAGATAAAACACTGACCATTTTCCTTCTTGGTTTTTGTTGTAACAAATTCTTTGAGTGCTGCCATTTGTTCTTTTGTGGAATGAAATAATGAAATAGCTTTCCCAGTGGGCCATTATAATGACCATGTAAATAATGACATTTTAAGTCATTGTAAATTCTTCGAAGTAGCATTACAGTATTTGAGATAATAGGAACCTTAAACATCCATTCATTTTACACTATGCATATTTCTTTTTTCTGTACATTTTCATATCTGGGAAAATGTACAGCATTTGTATATTATTCTCGGATCTATGTTCAACTCATTTGCTCATTCTTAAAATTTGATTCATTTCTTTTGTTGTTGCATTAGAGGAGTTCTTTATATATTCTGGAGGTTTTTTCTCTTTCTAATTATTTTATTTTTAGTATACGTTTCTACTATATAATGATCACATTCCTTCTGAGGAGTTGGTACCTGTACATAACACATCTTAATCTTTTTCATCTCTTTCCCCTCCCCTCTGTTCCTATCCCTCCATCAAAGCATATTTCATGTAAAGATCTTAGTATGTTTTCACAAACTGAAATGGAAAACTCAGGGTCTAATTTTGTATAATTTGTAATTTTGTGTAATTTTGTTCTCAGCTCATATGAATTAATCTTGTAATCAGAAATTTAAACTTCTTTACTTTTTAATTCTTCATCTTCCAGTGAAATTGAAATGGTTGACCAATAAAATGTTATTCATGTCAAAGGATTCTAGTGTTGAAGATAAACCAAACTCCAACTGTGCCTTACCCAAATGATATTTTCCAGTAGTCACATTATTCTGTGTGGCTTGGTGAGCTATATTTCTTTTCATTTTGTTTTAGGTAGCAGTTTTACAACATCGTCAGGATTATATACAGGAAATAATTCACTCACAAATTCCTCTGGATTTAACAGTTCACAGCAGGTAATTTATAAAGCCCATTCAACTTCTGAAATATTTTTAAATACAGCATGATTTTATTACACGAAGAAAGATCTGCTTATATATTAATCTATAATGAGAGCTCTCCTAAGCTTTTCAAGAGTTGTTTTATTTCCTTTTAAAAATATCTATTGCAGTGTTTTATGGTAAGTTGTTTAGTTTTTGGATGAGGTTAATTTTACTAGTACTGTACGCTAGAATAGAATATGTGTGAGAAATGCATATCATCTTGTATAAAATTTGTTTTCAGTCTAAGCTCTTCAGTAAATGTGTATTTGCTTATATAAATGCAGAAAAGAAACAGAAACAGCAGCATTTATAATTGCACTTTGAAATGCAAATAAAAAAATAAACATGTTGACAAATTATTCCTGTGTGGTTTCATTTGGTAGGACTATCCCTCATATCCCAGCTTTGGCCAGGGTCAGTATGCACAGTATTACAACAGCTCTCCATACCCAGCACATTATATGACAAGCAGCAACACCAGCCCCACGACGCCGTCCACCAATGCCACTTACCAGCTGCAGGAGCCGCCGTCTGGCATCACAAGCCAAGCCGTTACTGATCCCACAGCAGGTAATTTGTGCATTTTATTAGTCCTGCAGGCTATATTTCTAGTGGTTTAAATGCATTTTCCGACAGTCATATATTCATGCAGTGGTTGCACATTTTGGACAAGTTTTGGCAAAGACTAAACATAAGTTATGCAGCATGATCATGAAATTTGCTTTATTTCTGTTTGATTTTTAATAGAAAGTGTATAAGCCTAAAAAGTACATGAAATAGAGATTTTACGTGTAAATATTCTCAACTCTCCAAATGTATGTATATATTTATTTGTAGCTTTTTAGAAATATAATTTGAGGGCCGGGGATTTAGCTCAGTGGTTCTACTGCCTGCCCCATAAGCGCAAGGACCTGAGTTTGATCCCCAGTACCAAAAATAAATAAATAAATAAAAGAAATGTAAGGTTTAAAAAAAGAAATATAATTTGAAATATTTTGGTATAACTCTAAATCATTTATAGATACCATCTATTGAATATGAGAATAAATGGCATTGCCTACAATTTAATATTCATTATTAAATAATGTTTTTCATCAAAGCAATACATTTGCTGAAGGTTAAAAACATCAGTTAACGTCAAGTATTGACTGTGGAAGCCAGCAAGCCCCTGCCACGCCCCTTCCCACTCCTGGTGTACTGTGAATTTCATAACCTTGCGTGAGACTGTGGATGTTGTTCATCCTTCCATACAACCCTTGAGGGCCTTTCAGATGTGAACTTCTCCACCTCTGGACATGTTACTACATTATCTCTTTGACACTTCTTCCCCTTTATTGATTCTTTCTTTCTGGAACTCTTCAGGTTGTATGCTTAGTTTCCTGATTTGATATTCACTTACATTTTATTTTCTCTTATACTTCTTGCCTCCTTGACTTAACTTTTTAAAATGTAGTCATTGCTTTCATAGATTATCAGACAAGCTATTAACCTCAAAAAGCCAGTTTTCTTCCTCTTGCCTATTTCTAGAGCTGTAACCCACTTTACTGCTACAAGTTGGGTTAAAGAAGACATACCTGATGTAATATTACAGTGCTAATTCTAGATGGTTTTCACAAATCATAAAAAAGATTTTCTGACTGATGCTAATTTAATTTTGACTATAGGAGTCATTTGTAAGTATTAACAGATGCCTCTCATCCTTTAAGTTTCTGTGTTCTACCTTTTCTCTTTTGTAAAAAAAAATATATATATAAACACTTTTATTCTAAAGGAAGACATTACATCATTCTTAAATTTGTCCTCTAACTCCAAATGATTACTATTTATGCTACACATTTCAGCTTTAAACATTTTTATCTTTGATCGTCATATTCCATTTATCTTTATTTCCAAAAAACTAACTCAATATTCTATTTTTCACTCAGTTCACATGTGTAAATACAGCTTCCATGGAACTGAGTATATGTATCTCTTTGCTGTCTTTTTTTTTTTTTTTTTGGTACTGGGGATTGAACTCGGATCCTCACATTTGCAAGACAGACGGCATAATCACTGAGCTAAATCCCCAGCTCTTTTCTGTCTTTTAATAAAATTTCACTCCTATTAATCACACTAAAGAGAAACGTTTTTTAGAATATATGGAACTTATTGTAGAATTTGTATTGAATTTTCCTCTCCACTTCCATAAACTTCATATGTGCATCCTAAGGAAAAATTATGGCTTTCATCAACTTTGGGGAGAGCTCCTGTGTGAGAACATGTGTACCATGAAGTTTCTTGAGGACTAAATGGCATTTGAAAAGAGGGTAACTATGCGATGAGAAGTAGAAAAATGTTTTATGGGCTGTGCAATAATAGAATGAAAAAATGAGAAAGCAAGAAGTTTTAATCATGATATTTTGTTGTGCATGGTACAGTGTAAATAAATTGGTTAAGACTTATTCTTGTTGCTTAAATAAAGGTTGATTAGAGTTTCACCATTTGGTCTCATTCTGAGACTTTGTCGCTCTCATTGAGTTTGACATTGTCTTAATATTTTATTTATAAAAGGAATGCCATGTGAAAGAATGGGTGGCTGGGCATGAAACTGTGCTACATGGGAACAATACAAAATTACAAATTTCAAAATGTATATATAATGTTTTTTGCAAAAGTTTTGAATGATGTGTTTTAGCTTTTGAATTAAAAAAAGCTCCATGACTTGGGTACTTATTTAAATTTCATTATAAATTGACCTGGGGAAAATATATTTTTCAGATTTCTTATATTTATCACATCTTACTAAAATGAAGATTTATGAATCAGCCTTTCTTGTGTTATACAATTGGAAGTGGGAAGTTTACCGAGTTTCCACATTGAAAAAATATATGGATTCCTTTAAAATTTCAAAGATTTGGTCTGGGTTTTGTTTTGGTTTTGATATTTATAAAAAGACTATGGATTTAGCCAAATTTTTTCTGGCTTTAACTCACTTTTCTTACCAGTCATATATAAAATTATAGGTTTGTTCTTCTTAATGAAAAAGACATTTGAATGGTAAAGTACATACATTCATAAAATGAAAGAACTAAATGGAATGATTTAATAAACATAATCTGATAGTTTCTGTTTTGAGATAGAAATAAAAAGTAATGAAAATAATGAATGTCTGTTTTTCTTGAAATAATTTCAAGTGTTTTATTTTAATAGTCTATTGGATTTATAGTTAGTGTTTTATAGTATAGTAAAGTTAGCCATTTTTTGACTTTATGTATGGCCAGTTTTCAGCCTTTTCATTTCATAATATTATGCAGCTAAGACAAATCTACAGGTACATGTGCAGCTCCTCTTATCTTTCATGATGTCTGTTCTTGCATTATTCATAGGATTATTGTGTCCTGATGAGGGCCAGGGATTTAGCTCAGTGGTTCCGCCACCTGCTGTGCAAGCACAAGGTCCTAAGTTCGATCCCCGGTACAAAAAAAAAAAAGTAAAACAACCTAATGAATAAATATAGATAACTGTGGAAAGTCTTTTCAAGGCAAACATATAAGGACTGATTTGTTATATTTTTAAGGATATTTGAAGAATAAGTACCTTTTAAGCCCATGATAATATGCAGTATTACTCATGAGCATGTATTTCCTCGTAAATGTTAAACTCAAAAATCAAGTGAAATTAACATACACTTCTCAGAAGAAGTAGTACAAGTAGCCAATAAATACATGAAGAAATGTTTGGCATCAGTGATCATTAGATGCAAATTGAAACAATACTGAGATTCCATCTTACTCCAGAAAAAATGGCTGTCATCAAGAAATCAAATAACAACAAATATTGGTGAGGCTGTGGAGAAAAAGGAACCTGTCTTCATTGTTGGTGGAAATGTAAACTAGTGCAACCACTATGGAAATAAGTGTGTAGATTCCTTGAAAAACTAAAAATAGGAATTCCGCTTAATCTAGCTATTCTCCTTCTAGATGTCTTTCCAAAAGAGCTAGGGAATCATATTATGATAATATATACATATCTATATTTATGGCAGCACAATTCATAATTGCTAAATCTTGGAAGTAGCCCATATGTTCATTAACAGATGAATGGATAAAGAAAATGTATTGACACATAATGGAATACCACTATGCCATAAAGAAGGATAAACTTGACTCACTTATAGGAAAATGGATCCACCTTAAGAACATGATGTTAAGTGAAATAAATTGGAACAAGCTTAAATACCACATAGTTTCTTCTATATAAGAAATCCAGAATATAAAAGCAAAATAAAAAATAGATAATAGGATGTAGAGAGATAAATTCTTTCTCAAATGGGAAGGGAATCAAGATTGTGGGAGAGAGGGGGAGGAGAGGGAAAGGGGATGCAAAAGGAATTAAGGTGTGTTATGTACGTGTACCAACTCCCCATAAGGAATGTAATCATTTTCTGCAAACATGTACTACTAAAAACTAAAAACTGAAAAAAATTTATATTTATAATTAAATATTGAAAGCTATATGCTCCTTTTAAATAGACATAATTATTTCATTAAAATATATAACTTGAATATAAAAATTTAATCTCCAATTTTTAGTCTATTTTAAAAATTAAAAATAGTCGATATTTTATAGCGTGAGTTTGTTAGCTACACATTGATGATCTTAATAGAACAGTTTACATCATCTGGAGTTATGTAAGAATCTATGCACTTCAAGAAATATAGTAAGATATTATCTGCTTACTGAGCAAGATTTCAATTTATTTATTAGATTAAAAAATTTATGTTTACTCTTCAACTAGTGATGCCAGTCCCTCTCAGTCCCCAGTTGAAGGACATCTTGGTTGCTTTCACTTTGCAGAAGTTATGCACAAAGTTGGAAGAAACTTTGGGTGCAAGTTTTTGTATATATGTAAGTTTTCAACCTATTTGGGTAAATACCTAGGGATGTGATCCTGGATTATATGGTAAAATTATGTTTAGCTTTGGAAGAACCTGCCAAACTATATTCCAAAGTGACTGAACCATTTAGCATTCTCACCAACCGTGAATGAGCTCTTGTTGCTCTGCATCATGGTCAGCTCTTAGAGCTGCCAGTATTTTGGATTTGGCCATTCTAATAGCTATGCAGTGGTGTCTTGTTTTAGTTTGCAGTTCATTAGTGAGACACGATATGGAACATCCTTTTACATGCTAACATACCATCTGTATATTCTCTATTGTGAAGTGTCCATTCAGATCTTTTGCCTACATTTAATCAGGTTTTTTGTTTGAGTTTTAAGAATTCTTTGTGTATTTTGAATATAAGTCCTTTGTCAGATAATGTGTTTTGCAAATATGTTTTTCCCAATCTATGCCTTGACTTCTTGTCTTTTCTTTCTTTTAACAATGTCTTTCCCAAAGTAACTTTTAATTTTAATGAATTCTAACTTGTCAAAATTTCTCATGAATCACACTTTGATATTGCATCTAAAAACTTGTTGCTAAACCCAAGGTCACCTAGATTTTATCTTATGTTATCATCTAGACATTTCATAGTTTTATATTTTACATCTAGGTCTCTGATATATTTTGAAGTAATTTTTGTATAAGGTC